GACCAGTATTATTTTAATTCTTAAATAATTCTTATAATAATTAAAAATTTAAAGTAATATAAAAAAGTAGAAAACATTTTTTTTAAGGCCTATACATTGCCTAGGCTCTTAAAGCTTGAAACTTTGCCTCCAAATTTAATTACGCTTTACGTTTTATAGAACATTAATTTTACCAATAGTCTCTTCAAGAGAAGTCTCTCAAATATTGTAATCTTAAATAATTACTTTCTACAAAATAAAATAAAAAAAAATATTTCAAATCATTGTAAAAATATTAGAGATGATTCGAATTCGGTTTGAGTATAAAGAAAATGTAACCAACGTTAAATGTATATTTTTGTAGAAAATTGAATTGTAAATTATAGAAATATTCTAATAAAAAGAGAGGGTTTACATTAATGTATGATGTATTAATGTCCTAGCCTACGTACTATACTTGGACTTTGATTTCCATTTCAATTCAAAGATAATTTTTATTATTATTATTGAAAAATGCATTTTTCCATCCTAATGGAGCTTTAATTAATCAAGCTTTCAAAAAAACCTCTCTTTGTTATATAAATTGCAATTGCTTTGATTAAACTTTATTGCCTAATGCCAACCCTTTTAGCAAATAATTATGCATAGGATAGGACATTAATACACCATACAAAGTTTTTATTAATGTTGCTTACACTTTACTAGATATCACTGAATCAATATGGAAATCAAAGTCCAAGTAATTAATCAAAGAATAAATGCAAAACCTGAATATGACCCAATTTACATGATTGCTACAAGGGTTAATCGAGATTTGACACGTGGCTCGAAGTTGTGGAAGGAAGACTTTAACGCTTGTTTGATAAAGATTTAATAGAATTGGCTCATTGAAAATTATTTTTTTCTCGCAAAGTACGAACTTGAAATGATATTATTGAAATATGTATGATTAAAAACGAGTTTAAAAGAGACTTGATTTTTAAATAATAAAAAAAGATGGGTGATTTTTAAATAATCAAAACTATTCCTTTTTACTTACAAATTTATTGGATTATTTTAAAATTTGATAATTATGACCTATTTTATTTTATTAGGACTTATTAAGATGCAAGAGATTAGCTTTCCTTTTATAAAAGTGCTAGCCTCAAAATATCACCCACGAACCCGAAATCTCCCTCGAAGAGCTCAAAGAACCCTACAA